TTTTTTTTTTTTTTTTTTCCCCCTAGAGTTCCAGAAAAGGTTTTAATTCTAGTTCTTGAAATCTGGGAGGCAGACACCAGGAATGGCCCTGAGAAAAGCTGGGGAGCCTGGCTGTCACCTCCAGCTCTAGCCAGGGCAGACAGACCCTCAACATACATTTCTGATTTAGAGTTCCTGTGCTATAGGGCCCAGCTCCTGGTTTAGTGGCTGGGGTCCCCATGTCTGAGGTCACCAGTAGAAGAATGATGAATGAATCGGTGAATAATGATAAATGACTGAATAACAGGCAAGTGATCAAATGAGTAAATGAATGAGTGAACAACAGGAGTGAATGAATAAAGGAGTAGATAGATGATGAAAACATAAATGAAATGTAAAAGAGTAACTTGATGGAAGGATGGATGGATGGACAGCATATGGACGGTGGACAGATGTGGAGATGAAGAGATAAATGAGTGCATCCCTCTCCAGCTTGAGTTGGAAGTGGATGGAAGAAGAGATAATGAAGAGATAGATGGATGACTTGATAGAGAGAAATGGTGCAGTGAGTGGACGGCTGACTTGAGGGATGAGGGGTTATGTGTGAGATGGATTTTGGGGTTGAAGGCAGAGAACTACATGAACAAGTGGAAGGTTATAGAGATGAACTGGTGTGTAAGAGTTGGCTATTTGGATAGCTGAATAGATAAATGGGCTGAGAACAGCATGGTTAGATGTTCTGATGGCTGCATGGCTAGACGCAGGATTGGGTGAATGGATGGATGTGTGCACACCTGGCAGATGGAGCTGGGTGGACTAGGGGTGGATGAATGGATGGATTCTGAATGGATGGACACACATTTGATGGATAGATGTTTGGAGATATTGGTGAGTGATGAGATGGAGGGATGGAGAGGCAAGTGGATAGATAGATGGGTAAAGGGCTGGATGAAAGAATGGTTGGACAAATGGATTGGTAGATGAAATGATGAATGTCTAGGTGTTGGCATGTTTGACTGAAGGCTGGCTGGGTGGACTTTTAGTTAGTTGGATGCATGGAGAGAGTGACAGACGCTGAGATGTGAGTGGAGAGAGAGATACGTGGATGGGTGGAACAACAGGTTGTATAATGTTTAAGTGTGCAGCCTTGGGGGCCAGACCCACTGGATTTGAATCTTGGGCAAATTGCTTTCTTTTCTTTGCTGTTTCCTCATCTGTTACAGAGGAATGACAATAGTTCTTAGTTCCTGCTGTTTGTTATGAGGAGTGAATGAGTTGATACACATAGAGCCCTAAATCAGTGCCTGGGGGATAACTAGATTTATCTTTTTTTTTTTTTTTTTTGGTACTGGGGATCGAACTTGGGTCCTTGCACTTGTGCAGCAGGCGGTGAAACCACTGAGCTAAATCCCCGGCCCTTAACTAGATTTATCTTGATGGGAGGGAAGATGGACAGATGAACAGATAAATGAATGGAGGGCACATGATTGAACCAAGGGAGAAAGGAGCAGTGAGGGAGTGAATGGAGTCACAGACACATGAGACCACCTCAGACATTTTATTAGGGGCTTAGAAAGGAATCCTAGAGGATCTTTCTTATTTTCCCAGAACTGCGCCCAGGAATAGATCAGAGCTGGACATAGGACAAGGTGACATCACCATGGATTTCCAGCGTGTCCACACTCTGAAAGGCTGGGAGGCGATGGGAGTAGTCAAAGAGGTGCTGGCCATTGGCGAAAACTTTGAAGCGATCCATGCCGCAGCGAATGGAGAGCTATAGGAGAGGGGACGGGGTGGGCCATGAGGCCACAGGATAGAGGCAAAGTGGGGAGGCGGGGAAGGGAACCCCGGACTCACATCAAAGAACTGGCCTGGGCGGAATGGGTTGAAGGCGAGATTTCTCTCCTCGGAGCCCCATGAGCCATTCAGATGGCTGTTTCGGACCACGATGCCCTCAGACAGGCGGGGATTAATGTGCAGTGCTCTGTCCCCGGAGAACCCCACCTTGAAGTTGATGGCAAAGCTGGGAGCAAAGAGGGAATGTCAAACAGGGGCTCAGCATGTGGGTCTCCAGGGGAGAAAGGAGGTCTATATCCCTAGGTCTGAGGGAGGAGGCTGGGCCTGGACCCCTGGGCCTGAGGGAGGAGGCCTGGAGATTCCCACCTCAGTCTGGGTGCTGTACCTCTTGGCTGTGGGGGGTATGTAGCCCTTGATTATGATGGTCCTTCGGGCGCTGAGCCCCCCATGCAGTTTCCCCATATACGGCACAGGCTGTGGAGAACATGGGGTTCCATCAGCTCTCAGGTTACCAGAGTCCAGGTCCAGGTACATTTTTTCAAGAGAGGTTCTGTTCCTCCTGGGAAATGTCCCCAACCAAGTCCCCTCCTCCACCCTAGTCACCAGTTTTACCATCTCCCCACCTTCCACCCAAACACCCTCATCCTACCACCCCGCCATCCCTCTTCTGGCCTCTTCCCGCCCCCAGTCCCCGCTTCCCCTTCACTGAGCCCCTCCATGGAGCCCCATCCCCGAAGGACGCCGTACCGGGTTGAAGACTGGGGGTCCCGTCATGACCTGTGAGGTGAGGAAGAAGTGACACATTGGGCCATGCCCGACACATAGCTCTGCACACCTCCTCACGCAGGGGATTCTCCAGAGCTGAGCGGTACAGGCTGCGCCCCTCGCCCACCCTCAGTACCCCAGGCATAGTGCCCTGGCACTCACGGGCAGGCTGTTCATCTGCATCTGGGGAGGACCATACCCAGGAGCCTAGAGGGTGAGCAGAGGCAGGATGCTGAGGGGCTGGGGCCTCCTCAGCCACCCTCCTTCCCCCTGGGAAACCGTTCCCCAGCAGGTACTTACAGGGTAACCCGGCATGCCCATGGGTCTCTGTGGGTACAGAGAGGGAGGTCAGGGGTGGAACCCCATGTTCAGGACTGCAGGGTGTTGAGGGTCCCGGCCCTGGCAGCCCACTATCACTATATGAGTGACCTCTGAAGCCCACAGGGACACAGACGACTGGTTCAGGGAGGGGACCTGCCACGCTGAGCCATCACCAGTGCCCTGTGAGCCTCAGCACAAAGCCTTAGGACAAGGGCTGTGAATTCTATTCTCTGCTGTCTTCCCACTGCCCTGGGACTCTCTCTTGCACCCTGCTGCTGCTCAGCTTGGAAGCCACATGGAGAAGTGGAAGCACAGGTAAGTGTAGTGGCACATGCTATAATCCCAGAAATCTAGGAGGCTGAGGCAGGAGGATCACAATTTGAGCCCAGCCTGGGCAATTTGGTGACTTAGTGAGACCCTGTCTCAAGATAGGAAAAAATAAATTAAAACACAAATAAATAAATAAATGGCTTGGGAACTGTAAAGCCTTCAGTGGATGGGTACATGTACCACTAGGTCCCTGTGTGTTGCTATGATGTCTATTCTGCCTTCCCTACCCCACCTCTTTGCTTCCTCACAGGTACTATTACCTGAATCAAGGGGTTTTGTTTGTTTGTTTTTGTTTTTGTTTACAAAAACTGGGGGTTGAGCCCAGAGCCTTCACACTGAGCTACATTCTCATCTCTTTTTAAAATAATTTTTTGTTGTCTCACTAAGTTTAGGGTCTCACTAAGTTGCCTAGGCTGGAGCTTGAACGTGCAATCCTCCTGCCTCTGCCTCTAGAGTGTGGGGATTACAGGTGTGCACCACTCTTGGCTCTGAATCAAGTTTTATAGGGGATTCCCTTTCCTTGCGGCTGTATCACAAATATCTCTAGACTGAGCTTTTTCTTCTTTTGTGGCTACCAACTTGTTTACTGGATTCTATATCTGATGATGAAAGAGGCCCCTGCCATGTGGCAGCTATCTATTGTTCTCTCTCGACTTGAGTCATGAATATATTGTCTTTACTCACCCACCTGTTAAAGAACACTTCTGTAGTTTCAGCTTTGAGGCTATGTATTTTGTGTTTCAATGTGGTGCTGGGGATGGGACCTAGGACCTCCCGTGCTAGACAGTCCCAGCCCCAGGCTTGTGTAAGTGGCACTGTGACTCTCGCGGTGGGTGTGTGGCGGCGGCTGTTTGCCCACTTAGGATCTGGGAGTGCAGTTTCTAGGTCCCTGGGCCGAGGGTTTGCTCAGGTTTCAGATGGTGGCAGCCATTTTCCAAGAAGTCTGCACCAGTTCACAACCCCCACAGCCCTGTAGGGTGACTGTCTGTCCCACATGCTTGTCACCAAGTGGGACTGCATAGCTTTTTTCTCATTATAGCTCTGATGAATGTGTGGTGCCCACTCACTGTAGCTTTGAGGTTCCCAGGTGACTAATCCCAGCGGGGGTTTAAACAGCCCATGGTGCATTTGTTTGCTATTTGTGAATTTTTTACTCCTTATCTACACTTATTGATTCAGTTCACACACCACCTCCTCCTCCTCCGGGAAGCTCTTCCTGACCCATGACTAGGCCAAGCCCTTCCTTTGGACTCTCTAAACTGCCTGTAGATATTATAGACAGATGAATTAGGTAGAAATATTATCGGCAGTCAGGGCTAGGTCCTTGAGAGGGTCAGGACAAAGGTGAAACATACCACAGCTGTGGCCGGAGACACATCATCTGAAAACCAGGCCTCAAAGTAAAGACAAGATGACCAGACCTACATACTTCCTCAGAGAACAAACACTGGGCCTAACGAAGTCTAGATAGCCATCAGCCACCCCAGTGAGTAACCAGAGACCTCTGAACCCACCACTTCCTAGGAGAACCTTTGTTCTTTCCATCCACGCTTGTTATGTGACTTGTTTCCCAACTGGACCATTATTACCTGTGACTATACTTATAACATCCTTATTGGATGATCATGGCTGGGGTCCGTGTTGTACCCATGTGGGTTTCTCTCTATAAAACTCCCTTATAAGGGCCAGGGATTTACCTCAGTGGCACCGCGCCTACCTCAAAAGCGCAAGGTCCTGAGTTTGATCCCCAGTACCCAAAACAAAAACAAAAAGCTCCCTCACGGAGTGGGGCCCCCAGCCACCTAGGATCCCTCCTCCCCCTCAGGAGCTTTCCTATCAATAAATACCTTTCTACTCTTAACCCCTGTCGTTCCTAGAATTCATTGATTTTTAGAGAACAAGAGCTCGGCGTATCAGACAGCTAACAGGTTGGGAGATATACTACTTCATATTTCATCTCCTGTATTTTTTTTTTTTTTTGGTACCGGGGATTGAACTCAGGACCTTGCGCTTGTGAGGCAGGCGCCGGAACCACTGGGTTAAATCTCTGGCCCAATCTCCCATATTATTTCCTGTATCATAGATACCCCACCTTGGCCCTAACCCTCCACCCGCACCTCCCCGTCAGGGGCTTGGCCACTGGAAGCCGTGATCTGCAGATGTCTCTGTCTTCCCAGTGGACGTCTTGGTCACCACAGAGTCTCTGGTGTCACCCCTTGAAGGGACTGGCACCGATCAAGTGCTTGGGCAGTAAATGAATGTGAGATCAGATTAAGGAAGGAAGGATGCGAATAAGGGAGGGGACCCCACACACCTGGCTCGGGGCAGGCTGGCCTCCGAGGAAGTTGATCGACTGAAGCTGCAGGTCCCCATCCACTTGCAGGTGAGTGACCATGTGTAAGGGGAGCCGGTGCTTGAACTCATAGAAGGGCTTTCCGTTCACCGTGACCTGAAGGGCAGGTGTGAGAGGTCCAGAATGAGTGCCGTGCCTGGGGTGGTACGAGCAGGGTCTTGTTTTGTTTTGTTTTGTTTTGTTTTTTGAGACAGGGTCTCCCTATGTAGTTCAGTGAGAGGCTGAACTTACTATGGAGCCCAGGCTGGCCTCAAACTCTCAGTGATCCTCCTGCCTCAGCCTCCCAACTCCTAGGATTACAGGTGTGTGCCACCATTCCGGGTTTGAAGCAGAGTCTTTTTGACTGGGGGTGCAAGGTCTTAGGGGCGAGGTAGGAGACCCTCAGAGGCAGAAACCTAGGTGTCCAGAGGCCTGAGGTAAAGTCAAAAATGAGCTCACAAGCTTTAATCCCAGGACTCTGGAGGCTAAGGCAGGAGAACAGCAAGTTCAAGCCCAGCCTGGTCAATTTAGTGACCTAGTGGGACCCTGTCTCAAAAAAAAAAGGAAAGGAAAGGAAAGGAAGGTAAAAGAGACAATGGTTCAGTGCTGAGTACATTCACACTGTAGATAAAAGGCAAGCCCATGGGTGGCTGGATGGGAATTGGGACGCAGCCTGGCCCCGGAAGGTGCAAGGCACACGGGTGTTGGGGCTGGAAGGTCTGTTTCTGGCCCAGGGCACACTCTCCTTGCGAAAGCCCAGAGGGCATGCACTCTCCTGTCCTTGGCCACAGCCACCTGCGCTGTGCGAGTCAGCTGTGTGGGCCTGCACAGGCCCAGATTCAAACACACGGGGGAAAACAACAGATGCACAGCATGTAAGAGACGCTGGGACAGGATAGGACGAGTGGCAACATAAAGGTGTGATCACAAGTGGCAACATAAAGGTGTGATCACAGCATTGTGACTGTGTTTTAAAGGAAATGTTTATGAATGGAATGATGTCATGTCTGGAATCTACTTTCAAATAACATGGAAAGTAGAGTGTGCAGAGATGAAGGGGAGGGTCCCGCGGGGCCCTGTCTGAGGGTGTGGGAGACACAGGCTCTTTGTGTCTGGTGCTTGCTTCCGTGGGAGTCCAGAGCCCAAGGTCAAACACAGCCAGTGCCCTCCTTCTGTAAGACCCGGAAGGACTAGATGTGGCTCTGTGGGTTGGAAGGCTCCCGGCAGGTGGGAAGAAAGCAACAGAAAAAGGTGAGGTAGGAGCTGGGAGTAGTGGTACTGGAATCCTAGCACTGTGGAGGCTGAGGCAGGAGGATTGCAAGTTGGAGCCCAGCATAGACAGCACTGACTTAGTGAGACGCTGTCTCAAAATAAAAAAGGGCTGCCGATGCAGCTCTGTGCAAAGCACTGGCTTCACTCCCCAGTACCAGAGGGAAAAAATGAGGTAGGAAGGGAGGAGGAGGCTGGGGAAGGAAGAAAGAGGGAGGGAAGGAAGGCAGGCAGGGGGCTGGGACCTTGTAGTGATCGGCCAGGACCATGAAGACCAGCTCAAAGGCGTTGCCCTTGCTGAAGGGCATGCTCTTCTTGCGCTCCTCCTCTCCCCACTGGCCGCCCTGCTTCGTGTTGAAGACCACCTTGTCCCAGCCGTCAAAGCGGGGATTGAAGTGGAAGGCAATGTCTGACCCCGGGGAACTTCCCACCACGAAGTTCACAGAGAATCTGGAAAGACATCAAGGCCCAATTCCCTGGCGCCACCTGCCGGGGCCTCCGCCAAGAAGCTGTCCTCACAAGGGCCCAGCCCTGCCTGACATGGGACTCTGCACTGGCCCTAGTGACCCAGGCAAGGAGGGAAGTCATGGCCATGTTGCAGGAGGCAGAGCCCCACAGCTACTCTTCTGCTCACAGCTTCTCCTTTGTTTAAAACAAATTTTTGCTGTTGTTGTTGAGACAGGATCTCAATATGTAGTCCATGCTGGCCTTGAACTCACTGTGTAGCCCAGACTGGCCTTGAACTTGAGGTGATCCTCCTGCCTCAGCCTCCTGAGTACTGGGATTACAGATGTGTGCCACCACGCCCAGCCGGATAGCTTCTCCTTCAGGATCACTCCCAGCTTCAAGTGACAACTGCCACCAGTTGACTTGGGCATTACCCAGCACTTATTTACCATAGATCAGGCCCTGTCCTATGCACTTGACTTCTATTGGCTGGGATCTCCCTGCTCCTTCCTGGCCCCTGCAGGTCATTCCCCCTTACAGCCAGGGAGACCCTGTAGACACTCAAGCCAGAGACCAGTCTACACTGCCCAACACGGCAGGCTTTAGGAGGTTGACATTCAACAGGACAGGTGTGTGTGTGGCTGTCTCAGGACCTTTGCACTGGCTATGTCCTCTACCTGGACTCCTTTCCTCCGCTATTCCTCTTTCTCTCTCTCCTTCTATCAGTTGAGGAGGCAAAAGCTCTCTCCTGGTGCCAGGCATGGTGGCGCACACCTGTAATTCCAGCACTCAGGAGGCTGAGGCAAGATGAGGCTGAGAGTTTGAGAGTTCGAGGCCAGCCTGGGCTACATAGTGAGTTAGCCAGCCTGAACTATACTGTGAAAAAAAAAAAGCCCACTCCTAGTCAGAGTGCAGGAAGGGGAAGGAAGAAGGCCCCCTGGGTGAATCAGCAGGGCCTGAGTTATCTAGGCTGGCAGGGGAGGGTCTCACCGGTTCATGTTCTTGTTGGCCACTCCTTGGATATAAACTGACATTCCGATGCTGAGGCCACCCGGGATGGGTGCATTGTAGGGCAGAGTCTGTAGAGGGGGCCAGGGAAGGGTCTCAGAACCCTTCCCCCTCACCAAAAAGCCCCCCCTTCCTTTAAATGGGGAAGGGGAAACTCGGGGTGAAGGGACAGGGGATGAGGATGGTGCTGAGCCAGGTGTGGCCTCAAATGGGCTGAGCATCCGGGTGGGGGTGACTCAAGCCTTGGGGTCAGTATCGGATAAATCAGACCCCAGGGTAGGGGCCCCCAAGGATCCAGGTCAGGGTGAATCGGTGTGTGGGGTCAGGAGGACCCAAGGCAGGGCTCTCACCGGGTTGTAGGAGGGCTGGTAGCCTGGCGCAGGGACGTAGGCCATCTCGAGGCTGGGCTGGCGGCTCTCCTGGAGAGGAGCTGCAGGATGGGAATGGAGGTGGCCGCAAGTGGCAGGTGCCTTTATACCCAGGGGGAGGGGCTGGCAGGGAGGGTCCACTGGGTCCCTCTTCTGCGGCTGCCTAGGGCACACCCTCCCCTCCTGTCCCTACCAGCCTTACTCATGACCCCATCCCTCCTGTAAAGAGGAAGTGTGGTGGACTTCGGCCTCTCCAGAGCCTTATCAGAGCCCATAAAACCCTGCCTGGCCTCTGTTGGCAGAGGGAGGGCGAGGCCAGGTGGGCAGGGCAGGGCAGGGCTGTGGGCACCCTGGGGACAGGTGGGCAGTGGACGCAGGGAGGGGCTGGGAAGGATCCTGCTTCCCTGTATGTCCAGCACATCCTCACCCAAGCATCATGCTGTTTGCACAGTGGGCTGGAACACAGGCTACTGGAGCCGGAATTCTGCTTCCCATCCGACTTCATCCATTTCTTGGCTGTGTGATGCTAGCTCAGCACCTGGTCCTCAATTTGCCAATTAACTATTCGTATAATGGCGATAATAATAGTATCATAGGTCCTCCAGAGGAATCACTAGTTAATAAATGCTCAGAGCAGGACATGGCATACAAAAGGGATTAAATTAATGCTTGGTCTCTTGGACTCATTCTAAATGCAAATCCAGAAGGCTAGGATTACATATGGATAAGAAAACCTAAAGCTTAAAGCAATGTGATTGCTGGCCATGGTAGCACACACCTGTTATCCCAGCTACTCAGGAGGCTGAGCAGGAGGATTACAAATTCAAGCCTTGCCTGGGCAACTTAGCCACTTAGTGAGACCCTATCTAACAATGAAAAAATAAAGAAGGGGTGGTGTCCTATGCCTACAATCCCAGCACTTGGGAGGCTGAGGCAGGAAGATCACTTCAAGTTTGAGGCCACTTAACGAACTGAAAGCCAGCCTGAGCAAGACCCAGTCTCCAAAAACCTAAAAGGGGACAGAGGTGCCCTAGTGACATAACTCAATATGAAGGCCCTGAGTTTAATCCCCAGTACCAAGACAAACAGAAGCTTGAAGAAATAAGGCAATTGCTAGGTAATGGCACATGCCTGTGATCCCAGCTACTCAGGAGGCTGAGACAGGAGGATCACAAGTTCAAGACCAGCCTGGGCAATATAGCAAACCCTGTCTCAAAATAGAAACACAGAAAGGGCTGGGGATGCAGCTCAGCGCTCCCTAGGTTCAATCCCCAGTACTGGGCTGAGGCGTGGAGGGGTGGCAACTGGCTCAAGACTGGGTAGCACCGCCCCCACCCTGCACCCTCAGCAGGGATGGTCCTCACCCCACCCCCGCACCTCCGTCCCGACCTTCACAACTGCCGGGGGACACGAGCATCTTAGCCCATGCAGTAAAGACACCAAGTTCTTTACAAGGATTTATTGCTCTTGAGGAAAGATAAGGCCTTTGGGCTTGGAGAAATGAGTATCATAAACTTATAAACAGGACTGTGTGGGAAGGCACGAACAAGACCATCTTCACCAATCCTCCCTTTCCACACAGATAAGGACACAGGCGGGAGGCGGTGCAAGCGCGACCCTGGTGACCCTGGTTTGGGGCCTGGGAGCTGAGAGCTCTCAAAGCTTGGAGAAGGTGACGCTCTTCAAGTCCTTCTTCTCCATCACCGCCTGGACAGATTTGATGATGTCCTGGGTCTGCAGCATGCTCATGTTCCAGGAAGCCTGGGTAGAGGGCGGGGAAAGGCTAGTAGCACACCAACCAGAGGACGAAGAGTGAGCCTGCACACAAGCCCCAACCCAATTGGTCACCCCGGGACCAGGGTAGGCTTGTGATTGGCCGGAGTGAGCGCCTTACCATGTAGCTGAGGCCCTCGGCCACTGAATGGTCGCGGGCATAGAGCAGGTTGACTTTAGTACTCTGCACAGCCACCGGACTCTTGCTGGAAATCTCACTGGCCAGGGTGAATGCGGCATCCAGCATGGGCTCCTTGTCTGGGAACACACGGCTGCGAGGGAAGGGGTGAGAGGAATGGGGAACAGCGGGGCCTGAGATAGGCTCTCCTCCGTCCCCTTGCTGGGGAAGTGGCCTCGCCCAGTAGGAGGAGGAAGACCCGGGGGAAAGGGTTGTGTCAGAGCAGGATGCTGAGCACCTAAGGACACAGAGGGGACCTTGAGAGCCCCGCCCAGTATGGCTGCCCCCCCCGGGGGGGCCCTACCTGACTAGTCCGCTGCTCAGGGCCTCATCAGCCATCATTTTGCGGGCAGTGAAGGCCAGCTCGTTGACCAGGCTGCAAAAGGGTTGCTGCTGTCACCCGGGCCCATCAATGTCCCGTGGTCCTCTCCCAGCTCCGCTCACCCACCCACCTCTGGTTTCCGATGACTTTGGGGAGGCGCTGCAGTGTCCCCACATCGGCGGCCAGGCCTATGTCCACTTCCTAGGGGAGAAGTCGGGTCAGTGTTTGCTTTCTGCTCAGTATTGCTCCCCATGCCACCTCAACATCTGTAACAGTTTGCGTTTCCTGAAGAGGACCCATGACCCTCTCCAAACACGCGCCACCTACCCTGACTTCCTCCACGCCAAGCCTCGTTTTTTTTTGTTTGGTACTGAGGCTTGAACCCAGGGCGTTCACACTGAGCTACATTCCTGGCCATTTTTTGACAAAGGCTCTTGATAAATTATCCAGGTGAAACTTGACTTGCAATCCTCCTGCCTTGGCCTCTCTCAGTGGTAGGAAGGAAATGTGCACCATGGCACCTGACCCTAGCCTCACTTTGTAAGGTTCAGTTCTGACTCCCTCTTCAGGAAGCCGTCAGGCCTTGCTCCATTGGCCTGCCCTGTTCCTGCTCTGCCCCTGGTCCACCACTAACTGCCCAAGGCCATGCAGGGCCCCAGGAATGGGAGCTCAGGGGATGACTCACCGTCACCTGGAAGCAAGCATCCTGGGCACAGTACCGGATGTCACAGGCAGTGATGAGGTCCATGCCTGGGACAAAGAGGCCAGGGACACTGAGCAATGGTTAGAACTAACCTCTCCTCCCAGGATGTGGGACTGCATCCTGGGACCAAGTCTAAGTAGCAACAGAGCTGAGACTGGAGGCTCTGGTGGAGGCTGGTGGCTGCAGACTCACCAGCGCCAATACAGGGCCCATGGATGGCAGCGATCACGGGCTTGGGGCACTGGAAGGGAACAAGAGTGGGGATCAGGTTTGCTGAAGACAGGAGTGCAGAGGGGGTGGTCTCTTGGTCCCTAGATCCACCTGCTCAATGACGCTGAAGGTCTTCTGGTACGAGCTGATGAGGTTATGAAGGTTCCAGGCCACACGAGCTACATCGTCTCCTGGGGGCTGCAGGAGACCAGATGCCATGTCCACAAGGTCGATACCTGACGGGAGGAGTTAGGGGCCCACCAATTTTGTGGCTGCAACTTTAAGATAATCCTGAATCTGACTTTTTTTCTACCAGCCATTCTCTATGCCTCTCATCCTGGTCCCCTCGTTCCCACCCCACATAGAGGCAGAAGCAGCCTGTGAACCTCGAGTCAGGACCTCTCTTCTTCTCTCCCACCCCTTAGAATAAAAGGGCAGAGCCTTGGGCTGGGGACTTAGCTCAGTGGTTCTACTGCCTGCTTCAAAAGCGCAAGGTCCTGAGTTTGATCCCTGGTACCAAAAAAAGGGCAGAGCCTTGTTTAGCATATGCCAGGCCCTGGGCTCCATCCCCAATGCTGCAGTGTCTTCCCCAATGCTGTGACCTGGTCCTGCATGGGCAACCCCCTCCACCCCAGTGATGCCCTCAAGACTGACTTGGCTGCTTCATTCAGGGACACCTCCTCGGAGCAGCTGCCCCAGCCACTTTCCATCTCCAGCTCTGCTCCACGGCCCACCCGGCACATCTTGCTGTCACATAGTCAGGACTTTATCTCACCAAGCACTGGTCTCTCTAGGATGGGGGCTCTGGGAAGTCTGGGGCTTGTCTTTTTTTTTCTATCACTGTCTACCTCTGGCCTGGAACAGGGCCTAGTACACAGTAGATGCTCAATTAGGGAACAACACAGATGACAATTGCTGCCCTTATGGGGAGACACACAAATGAGGAAGAAAGTATATTTTGTCAGGTGGTGGTAAGTGCTCAAGGAAAACAAAAGGGAAGTAGAATGAACTCCGTGTGTGTGTGTGTGTGTGTGTGTGTGTATGCGCACTCATGCGTGGGGGGACTGCTGCAGTGTCAAATGACACCCTCACTGGCAAGGTGACATCTGAGGACAGACCTGGAGGAGAGGGAGGGCACCATGGCATGTGTGGGAAAGTTGCAGATGTGAGGAACAGCTGGTACAAAGGCGCTGTGGTGGGAAAGGCCCTGATCTCTCCAAGGACCATGGCAGATGCCCATGAGCTGCAGCAGAGTAAGCAAGGGAGCAGGAAGAGCCAAGGTCAGAGGTGAGGGGGCAGAGTGTTGGGGAGGACTTGGACTTTTACCTCATCTGGCTGAGCAGAAGCATCCTTCACTTTCTTTCACCTGAGGCTAATCCTTCTTGTCCTCTCACTGGTCACTACACAGCGCCACTGACAAACCTGAGAAATCATCCCCAGGCTCGGCTGCGCCCCTCAACTGTTGAGGCTTCACTGTTTAAATGTGAGCTGGAAGGAGCCAGGGCTTGGCAAGGTGGCCTTGTGCAGGTTACGGATACAGAAGGCAGGATGCCGTGCTACCTGGCTGGGTCACTTCATCTAGGGACCTGGGTGGCTTCTCTGTGAAATACTCATAAACCCTCCCAGAAACAGACAGGGCCACAGGTGTGCACGGAGGTGCAGCCCCAGAGGCACTGAGCGGGCCTGGCATGCTGGGGCACAGTCACCACTAATGTGTTCTCCGTTTCATCAGAGGTCATGAGCTGGATCAGCCCACTGGTGGCTCTTGGCTTGTAAGAGGCCCCATGTGACTCAGCAGCTATGATAAGTCCCAGAACAAACTTAGCATGGCATCTTGTAACACCTCCTGTCACTGGCTTTTCTGGTTTGCTCGCCCTTCTGGACTTGCAGACAACTGCAAGGAAATAAAGGGCACCAGACCATGGGACACCCGGCAAGTAGTCATTAAAAAAATTAGCAGTTTTAGCCAGGCATGGTGGTACATGTCTATAATTCCAGTACTCTGGAAGGCTGAAGCAGAAAGACTTCAAGTTTGAGGCCAGCCTGGACATAGCAAGAACCTATTTCAAAAAGAGCAGGGTGGTGGTAGCTGGATATATACTCTGTGAGGGTCCCCAAGTCATCTCTGGGTGCCCAGCACTGAACTTGGCCCAGTGGAAAAATCAGTGCGTGTGACATTTTGCTTCTGGTATGCCCTAAAGAACCAGCCTCCCATGATGACATACTGCATATACACTTTGGTTGGACAAGACAACTACCAGAAGTCACTTGAAGAATCTGAAAGAAGTGAGCGCTTCAAAACACTGGCCCGTACAAGCTGAGCCACCTGTTTTAAAGCTTTTAGCCTGATCGCAGTTTGAGGTTGTACTTAGAGAGCCATGAGACAGAGTCCTGGGTGAACACAGCTGGTAAAAGTGAGGGAGAAAATTCCAGAAAGGGAAGAACCAGAAAGGGGAGCCCCAAATCCTGTGTACAAACTGTTGAAATCTCTTGCTGATTCATGAAACCATGCATGCAGCAGGGAACAAGATTTAGAAGCTAATTCCAACTAAGC